GTACATGTATATACATATATATAGTTACTTATCTATATATTTATTTATATTGTGTGGAATTTTTTTATATATATATATGTATATATAAAAAAAAAAAAAAAAAAATATATATATATATATATACACAAAATTCCACACAATATAAATAAATATATACTTAAGTAACTATATGTATGTATATATATATATATAGGTTTAAAATAAGTGATAGTGATAATGTCAGAGCAAATATCTTGAACATGGAAGTTTTAGGCTAAATATTCCATAAATCCTCCCTCTGATGTGGCTTTTAACTCATCTTCCGGTCAGTTAAGGGTCAGTTAGGAAAGTTTAGTTTAGTTTAGTCTAAAAACAGGAAGAGAGTGTCCCCCTGTAGTTCTTCAAGTTCACCACTAGGGGGTGAACTTGAACCCTCCTCCTTCCCTCCCTCCCTCCCTCGCGTCACGTGCTTGCGGGCGCGTGCGCGGGCTCGCGGCAGAGCGGGGCAGCATGGCGGAGGATGCGGAGGCTCTGTCCGGAAGCCTGGCCCTGTTTTCGGACCTGACCAGGGTCCTGCTGCAGGACGTCCGGAGGGAGGCCGCAGGTGGGTCGGGTATCCGTTTATCAGAAAATGGCGACCAGGGAAGTGAATTACAGTACACGTTGTTTTTTTGTAATATCCTCCTGAGACCCTGCGTCCTCATAGGAGGACATTGCATTTTGAATTTCTTTCCCATGATACTTTTTTTTCTTTCTACTTTGACCTCTTGGCCTCATAGTAGAAACTATCAAATATATAAAGATAAACCCACTGAGCCAATACGAAGAAAAACTACCTGTACCATGACAAAGTCTAGTTATGAACTTATTAGGTCCTACTAATCCCATATATCTTGAAAAAAGAAATAATGCTGCAGAAAAAAAACTCGGGTCTCGGGAGGATATGTGGTCCGGTCTGATGTTTGTTTGGATTTGAAAGTGTTGTTTTTTTTTAACCCCATGGTGCCTCTGAGTGCTTGTTTTCAGGGGGAGGAAACTTTCAACCTGTTGCATCTTAATGTTTCCTAACTCTGGTTATTTACTGTTGTTAGAATTGGCTATAATTACTCATTTTAGCATTGTATGCATATGATCTATGCTAATTACTGTTTGTTTTATTTTCTTATAGAACTATATTTTGTGTCCACAGACTCTCTTTTCTCTCTTTTTCTTTTCTCTCTTTTTCTCTCTCTGTTCCATTAGTTTCACACTTTTAGGTCAACACAAACACACACCATTTGTTACAACATTCTAATGTTATGTACATGAATTAGGACCTGGCCTGTTCATGCCCAGCGCTAACTAGCAAATTAATTTATCATCAACTGCTTGTAAAATGTGGCAATTAAATCTAATTAAGTGTCAGAATTTGGCTATAATTACTCACTTTAGCATAGCATGCTACCACATGATCTATATAAAATATTTTGTTTCTTTTTTCTTTCTTAGTTCCATTAGTTTCACACCTTTAACTCAACACACACACACACACCATTTGTTAGCACATTCCTGTCATCTGCATGAATTAGGACCTGGCCTGTTCCTGCCCAGAGGTAACTGGCCAATAGGACTTGGTTGTGTCCAGTCCTCCTTTGAGGAGGCGGATGGAGCCCAGGAGATAATGCCCATCACCCAGATCTCAGGGCTCTTTACCCACTGAGACCCAGATAGAGGTTTTAGTCTGTTAGAGTCCAGCTGATACACTTTATGTGACCCAGTAAATGTTATTTTTTGTACTTTTGATCCACTCTGGTTTATTCTCAGGTTTCCAACTAAAGAATCGGGTTAACATAATAAATATGGAACTTTAAGCTTCAATTCAAGCATCTCAGATAAGATCCAGGAATTCCTGTGATCACTGTTTTTGTTTGCATATGTTGTTGAAACATGGTCATTTAGGTCCTGTAAGAGTTCTATAGAGATCCAAGCTTGTTTTGTTTTTTGTTTTTTGGGGGGGGGGGTTCTGTTTCTTGTGTGTTCTTTTCTGTTGTATTAGGTTGCAATATACCTTTTACTCTTATCAGACCAATGTACCTGTTTCTCTTTAAAAGCAATAAAAAAGAAAGCGTTTTAGGTGCGAGGCACTGAGACAAAGTTTATTTTACCAAAATCGACATAACCCAATAAATGTCATTTTTTATACTCTTGATCTACTCTGGTTTATTCTCAGGTTTCCAACTAAAGAATTAGGTAACACTATTATCTCTGGGCCAAATGGCACAATGGCTGTGCAGAGTAATCCCTGTCATGCTTTTTGCCAACATAAGGAGATTTCCCAAAAGAGCTCACAAAGCCCCTTTGTTTTTTCTCCCCCCCCCCTTAGCCTCCCTGGAAGCACTGGTCCCCCACAAGATCACCACCTTATTCGGCCTGATCACGGCCGGGGCGGACCTCTACAGAAGGTCAGCGGGTTCTTAAAACCTCAAATAACAGAAAGTAGAAAGTGTCTTTGACTGAGGTCTGATTTGAGCTGTTTTTTGTTTTTTTTTCAGCCTGGGGGTGAAAACGAAGAGCGAGGCCGAGGCCGTCTGGCAGAAGTCTGACCAGTGAGTTTTATCCACCGAAATTAGGATTTATTTAAATACACGTTTGATAAAAGTTATTGTGTTTTTCTCCAATTGGATTTATTAATCCAATGTTATCCAGGTGTTTTTTTTAAAACTGTTTTAACCCTTTAAAGTCTGATCCAAGAATAAAACAAAACAGATGGATTGAAGTCTTTATTTGGCCTTTTAACTAAATATGTAAAAAGAAAAACCAGAAATAGATTTTAAATATTAATAATTTATTACTATGCGATAAATCAAGATTATTTTTTGTGTAGTCTTCTGCCCCCTGTTATCAGGTGTATCTGATTGTGTACAATAGGATTTTGAGCAAAGTTTTTACCATTAAATTATGCAAAAGGAGTCAGACGCAAAACATTTCAGAAACCGTATGAATCAGATATGATACATTTGGCATTATAGGTTTAACAACAGCATGATGGTATTTAGATGAATGAGGACAAATCAGTTTGCTGATCAGTAATATAAAAAATAAAGAAAAACGGATAATTTTTAATGTCTCAACGTCTGTGTGTTTGCAGCCATGCGGCGGTGAGGCAGCAGCTGGACCAACTTTTGCAGCTGGAGGTATTTTTTTTATTCAGTTTGGTAACTTTTAGCTCCGAATCACAGTCCAGTTCGACCCGGTCAGAGTCTGACTCGTCCTAAAGCCGTCAGAATCATTCCCAAATGTTCCAAAACTGTTTTCACTGGTGTGCTTTCTTTCTAAGTTTATCATTCTAAAAGAAAAATAGTCAACAGATGTTCATATTTTGGCTTTAAAATCAGTCAATTCTTCTTTTTTTTGCTTTGGAAATGGCTGAAAACATCAGGATTACTGATTAGTCCAAACATCTGGACAGCTGTAGCTGTTTAATCATCGTCATTACACACAGCCCATTCGATTTTATTATAAATGAGGATAATGACAGACAGCTGGAGGGAAATTTTTTATGAAATTGAGAATATTGAGCTTGTTATGTTTTTTATTACGTTTTTTTTGTCTAGCTGTGGTCTGAAATACAGACACAGGGAAGACTGATGGGATTAGAATCAGAAATACTTTAATAATCCCAGAGGGAAATTATTTTTGTTACTAAGTCCAGAAATACAACAGCATATACATATATATATGTCTATATATATATGTATATATATATATATACAATCTGATGAGGAAAAATAAACATTCTTTGTAAGTGGGCAAAACCTGCAAAATCAGCAAGGGGTCAAATACTTATTTCCCCCACTGTATATATATATATGTCTATATCTATCTATCTATCTATCTATCTATCTATCTATCTATCTATCTATCTATCTATCTATCTATCTATCTATCTATACACATACACAATGTTCCAGAAAAAATATGAATACATACATACACTATGTAACTATATGTATATATACAGATCTAAAATAAGTGATAATGATTGTATGAGAAGAATAAATAAATGCCAATAAATTGGCAAGAATTACATATTTAGT